TTCTTAAATAATTGGTCGCTGCACAGTGACTGATTGGTATTTTGTTTTCCAAAAACACTCCATGCAGTATCTGAGAGAGAAACAGTTTGCGCTCAAAAATTTGAAAAAAAAAATGGTAAAAATGATACATTGTTATCATGAGCGCTCTTGACTAGATCATCCAGGAACAACACATTTCCTTCGGTATTCGGATATTGCAAAATTACTCCAGCCACATTGCTGTCGAAACTTGGATTCGTAACTTTCAGATTTTCCAGCTCAATGTTCAACGGTCTTAAATGATTTTTGGAGGAATTGTTGAGCAACTGATAATTTTAACAGTTCGGCATAAAATTATAAACTATACTGCGCACTTTTATAACATAAAATAAAGTATGGTTTTTAAAATAATAGTAAAAAAAAGTGGTAAAAAGCAGGAAGGATGTGAAACGATAAGTAATGAGGAAATTTGTACAAAAATTTGTTTAACATAGATAAGAGATCAGAAGAAAAACAAATGGAAAGGAATATTTCGGTCCGCTGACTTGTAGAATTTTCCAGGTTAAGGCAGTGTATAATGCGTCAAATTCAAAAATTAAAGAAATTTATCATTTTTTGCAACTCTTTTTACAGTTACCTTGCTCGTGTTTCGATGACGGCAATATTCTGTGGATGGAGCAATGGATCAACGAGTAATTTGGTGCGTTTCGTGAATCGAACGGCCAATGTCATAGCTTCAGCACATGCTGTGCTTTCATCCAGCAGAGAAGCATTTGCAATTTCCAGGCCTGTCAAATCTCTCACCATCGTTTGAAAATTTAGCAAACTTTCCAGGCGCCCTTGTGCTATTTCCGGTTGATATGGTGTATACTGAGTAAGCCTAAATTACTCCTATAAGTGTTGTCGTTATCAGTTAATAATATAATTGATAGCATACTTGAGTTAGCATAACTTAGGATCTTTGGATCTATCATTACTAAATTAGTTATTGGCAAAAGACAAAACCCTCTCCGTATTCATTCTCCGTGAAAGTAATGTGGGGCCAGCAGCAATTACTCGCTGACAAGGCTGTCGATGGTTCTCTCTTTCAAGGATTGCTTGAAAAAACAAGATAATTCTCTTCTAAATATTTTATGCAATACAACACAACTTATTAGATGTTTTTGCAATTTTTGTACTGACGAAACGCAGCTATGGCAGGGAAGTCTGTTATACAAACAGATCGTCTTAAATTAGATTATCAGCACAAATTTCTAAATATTTGTCTATAACATTCACTTGTTTATTTTTCTAGTTTTTTGTGCTAACTGTTATATTTTTAACTTTTCATTATTTTTGCTCAGCATGTTTTTCATTCATTTATTATAATTTTCAATATTACTTAACTGAATTACTACATATTAATAAAAGTCTGGAATCGAAAGCTGGATTAACACACCTGTTGCATGCATCATCTCAGAAAGAATATTTCGTAGGTCTTTTTGATCGAACTGAGGACAGCTACTGGGTTAAATTCAAACAATAGCCCTTAGAAAATGAAATTCACAGAAGATTTAATGCGGTAAGAAAATTTCCATTTAGACCACTCTCGGTTTTCGCTAGTGAGATTTAACTGTTCGAACTTTTTTTACCAATGCGATTTATTGCCTCAGATTCTTTGCAAGTATCAAAGTAATAGCATTTTTAAAAGACGAATCCAAAAAGATCAGATTTCTTTTCGCCGGAAACTTGTTATGCAAAAACTATTGTAACAGTGAAGTTTAGTATGGAGTAGGAGATCGTCTGGGCTAAACTAGCGAGTGTCTTAGTTATCTGATGAGTTATATTAAGGCGTACATTCAAAAAAAAAAACAAACCATCCAGCATTTTCGAGCATGTTGCGCCTGATGACCGATGGTACAATACAGTCATAATAACCCATTCCAATATATGACTTGAAAATTTTATTTCTTTCTGCGAGCTTTTTCAACTCTCTTAGCATTCGCTCTTCATCGATTGCTGGCGGCAGATGAAGTGGTCTTTTCAACCGAATCGCTTCCGGTACATTTGTATTCGTTAAAAAGTCTAGATCCTACAAAATATTTAGTGTTTTGATTAGTAACTTCATTTATGTCAAAATCCTGAAGTTGGGAGAGGAAAAGGGGAAGGCGAAGAGGAAGAGGGGGAAGGCGAAGAGGAGGCAGAGGAGGAAGCGGAGGGGGAGGGGGGAGGGGGGAGAGGGGGAAAGAGTGGAGGAGAAAAGAGGAGAAGTGGGGAGGAGGGAATGCATAATTTTACAAAACTAGAGTATGCTGCTTTTTATGCGTTTTGTGCTGTGTAACAGCAGTACAAAACGCATATTGTTACGGGGTTGTTATGCGT